TTGTTGTCCTCCTCTCTCCTATTCTTTGAATTTGAATTTTTTATTTTTCCTGTTCTCGTTTTGTTTTTTTATTTTCTTGTGAATGTGAACTTAGAATGCAAATGTGTGATCTCGGCGGCACACAAACAAATGTGTCATCTTGCCTTCTTTCTCCTTTCTCGTCCTTACAATTTTCTTTTAATTTTTTTGTTCTTTTGGTGTATATGTAGTAAGTAACTTGGTGTTATAATATGTGTGTTGCAGGCACGCGGTGGATGGTAGACTGGTCGTGAATTTCGCAAAGCTGGGCCGTCTTTCGACTTTCATCTCACCGACTTGTACTGTCGCATGTGTACACGGGTAAATTTTCATACTTTTTCAGTATTCGAGTACCGACTTTCCCTTGCAAAGAAATGACTCATCTACCAGGCTGTTGCTTCTCCCTGTAGGAGTTCATGATATGGTTGAGTTGCCACAAACGTCAGGTGGGTGAGTGCGTATGTGTAATTGCTGGTTCATTCATTAATGACGGTAGACGAAGTACAAGCTGCATTATGACATCGTTCTCAGATCCAGAAATACAGTGAAAGGGAAAGTGATGGTTTGACAGTGTGATGGTTGACATGGTCCGGTTAACAAGAGGTGATTGATGTTTTACCCCGAATAAAACGAACAGGAAACCGCCAAAAAAAAACTAACGGAATTCGAGCACCGCAAAATTACGCATATGCCAAATTAACGCTGGAGAATATCTTAAAAAATATTGTATGAAGCAAAAATCATTATTATTGAATCACCAACAGGCCGGTTGCTGCCTGTGGTTGGTTTCGGTTGCCACATCCACCTCTTCGTTCTCCGTCGAGTGGGCCCATTYGGCCTCGTTCAACCASSTCGCAAGTTTCTCAGCATCCGTTGAGACAGGACCAATATATGACGGGCGAATGGTGAAATTATAGGATTATATCGTAGTGGTCGGCAGGTGTGCCGTTCTCTTTTGCACAACCTTTCGCTTGCACGTCAAAAGACAGTGCACCTACCGACCCGCGATCCTTGCAAAGGGAAGTGGGTCCATTAACGCTCAACTACCAGGTTGCAACTGAGTCACCATCCGCTGAGCCATAACCAATATATGACGAGAGAGAGGTGCAGTGTGCAGGTCGACAGCGTGGAGCACGGCTATGGCGCCCAGGTACCAGTGTGGAGCAAGGCTATGGCGCCCAGGTAAGTACCGCTGACGCAGGTATGGCCTCCGCCCCTCCTCCTCTTCTTCTTCTTCTTCTTCTCCTTCTCCTCCTTCTCCTCCTCCTCCTCCTCCTTCTTCTTTTTCCCCTTCCCTTTCCCCTTCCCCTTCCCCTTCTCCTTCCCCTTCCCCTTCTTCTGGTAGTGGTTGTGGTTGTGGTTGTTGTTGTTGTTGTTGTTGTTGTGGTTGTTGCTGTAATTGTTGTTGTTGTTGTTGTTGTGCAGGTCGACAACGTGGAGCACGACTATGGCGCCCAGGTACCAGAGTGGAGCACGGCTATGACGCCCAGGTAAGTACCGCTGACGCAGGTATGGCCTCCGCCCCTCTTCGTCTTTTTTTTTTTCTTCTTCTTCTACTTTGTTTTCTTCTTCTTCTTCTTGTGGTTGTTGTTGTTGTTGTTATTGTTTTGCAAGTCGCCAGTGTGGAGCACGGCTATGGTGCCCAGTTAAGTACCACTGACGCAGGTATGTGATGTTGTTGTTGTTGTTGTGCAGGTCGTCAGTGTGGAGCACGACTATGGCGCCCAGTTAAGTACCTCTGACGCAGGTATGGCCTCCGCCCCTCTTCTTCTTATTCTTCTTCGTTGTTCTTGTTGTTGTGCAGGTCGCCAGTGTGGAGCACGGCTATGGCGCCCAGTTAAGTACCGCTGACGCAGGTATGTGTTGTTGTTGTTGTGCAGTTCGCAAGTGTGGAGCACGGCTATGGCGCCCAGTTAAGTACCGCTGACGCAGGTATGGCCTCCGCCCTTCTTCTTCTTCTTCTTCTTCTTCTTCTTTTTCTTTTTCTTTTTCTTCTTTTTCTACTTCGTTGTTCTTGTTCTTGTGCAAGTTGCCAGTGTGGAGCACGGTTATGGCGCCCAGTTAAGTACCGTTGACGCAGGTATGTGTTGTTGTTGTTGTTGTAGTTGTTGTTGTTGTTGTTGTTGCTGTGCAGGTCGCGAGTGTGGAGCACAGGTATCGCGCCCAGTTAAGTATCGGTGACGTAGGTATGGCCTCCGCCCCTCTTCTTCTTCTTCTTCGTCGTCGTCTTCTTTTTCTTCTTCTTCTTCTTCTTCTGAACAACCGATTGTTATTTGATAAGGTTTTTAATAATTTTATAGCTAAATTATTTTGACGTTTTGGGTATGAAGTTTCTTTGAAAACTTTAGACAAAGGTGCTATTTTCGTTTTGGGTCCCTATGGAATTTCCACCACATTTCAAAAATTAGCAAAGCAAATAAGTAGACTTCAAAGTGGCTTTGTGTACCATTATCCTTTTGTTGTTTTTGTTTTTGTTTTTGTTGTTGTTGTTGTTGTTATTGTTGTTGTTATTGTTGTTGTTCTTGTTCTTCTTCCTTCTTCTTGCTTCTTCTTCTTCTTCTTCTTCTCTTGGTTGTTGTTGTTGTTGTTGTTGTTGTGCAGGTTGACAGCGTGGAGCACGACTATGGCGCCCAGGTACCAGTGTGGAGTACGGCTATGGCACCCAGGCAAGTACCGCTAAAGCAGGTATGGCCTCCACCCCTCTTCTTCTTCTTCTTCTTCTTCTTCTTGTTTTTCTCGTCAAATATTGCTATGGATTGCTTTTTTTGCATCTTTTGCAGTGAAAGTACCTATGGTACCAGTTCATATTTGGTTACCTGAAGCTCATGTACAAGCACCCACCGCTGGATCTGTTATCTTAGCGAAAATTCTCTTAAAATTGGGAACTTACGATTTTTTAAGATTTTCTGGAGATTAATTCAATTTTGGAGTAGAAAATGTAGAAGTGTTTGGTGAACCAAAAATGATTTTGCCTAAACAAATAAAAAGGATATGCAAAAATAAACAAGCTTCGACTGAATTAACACAAATATGACGAAGTGACAATAATCGCGTAAAAGTTTTCTTTTTGAATTCAATAAATGGAGGCTACGCTGTAAAAATTGCAGGTCATATAGCTTTCTTCTTTTTTTTCTTCTTCTTTTTCTTCTTCTTTTCTTCTTCTTCTTTTTTTATTTTTTATTTTTATTTTTTTTCTTCTTCTCCTTCTTCTTCGTTGTCGTCTTCTTCGTCTTCTTCTTCTTCTTCTTCAAGTGATTGTGATTCTGGTTGTTGTTGTGGTTGTTGCTGTTGTTGTTGTTGTTGTTGTTGTTGTTGTTGTTGTTGTTGTTGTTGTGCAGGTCGACAGCGTGGATCACGGCTATGGCGCCCAGGTAAGTGAAGCAGGTATGGCCTCCACCCCTCTTCTGCGTCACAACCTCCGCCCCTCTTCTTCTTCTTCTTCTTCTTCTTCTTCGTCTGGTTGTTGTTGTGGTTGTTGATGTTGTTGTTCTTGTTGTTGTTGTGCAGGTCGACAGCGTGGAGCATGGCTATGGCGCCCAAGTGGTTCTGGTTCTGGTTCTGGTTGTTGTTGTGGTTGGAGCACATGCGACTGAATTAACACAAATATGGCGAAGTGACAATTATTGCGTAAAAGTTTTTTTTTTGAATTCAGTAATGACCTGCAATTTCGCTGAATTCAAAAAAAAAACTTTTACGCGATTATTGTCACTTCGTCATATTTGTGTTAATTCAGTACAAACTAGTTTATTTTTGCATATCTTTTTTATTTGTTTAGGCAAAATCATTTTTGGTTCACCTAACACTTCTACATTTTCTACTCCAAAATTGAATTCATCTCGAGAAAATCTTAAAAAACATTAAGATCCCAATTTTAAGAGAATTCCCGCTAAGATAACAGATCCATCGGTAGGTGCTTCTACATGAGCTTCAGGTAACCAAATATGAACTAGTACCATAGGTACTTTCTCTGCAAAAGATGCAAAAAATATAATCCATAGCAATATTTGACAAGAAGAAGAAGAAGAAAAAAAAAAAGAGGGGCGGAGGCAATACCTGCGTCGGCGGTACTTAACTGGCGCCATAGTCTTGCTCCACACTGGCGACCTGAACAACAACAACAACAACCACAAAAAAAGAAGAAGAAGAAGAAGAAGAAGAGGGGCGGAGGCCATACTTGCATCAGCGGTACTTAACTGAGCGCCGTGTTCCAACCTGCGTCAGCGGTAGTTAACTGGGCGCCAAAGCCGTGCTCCACACTGGCTACCTGCAGAACAACAACACATCCCTGCATCTCCGGTACTTAACAGGGCGCCATAGCCGTGCTCCACAAGGTATGGCCTCCGCCCCTCTTCTTCCTCTTCTTCTTCTTCTTCTTCTTCTTCTTCTTCTTCTTCTTCTCCTCCTCCTCCTCCTTCTCCTTCTCCTTCTTCTTCTTCTTCTTCTTCGTCGTCTTCTTCTTCTTCTTCTTCTTCTTCGTCTTCGTCTTCGTCTTCGTCTTCTTCGTCGTCTTCTTCTTCTTCTTCTTCAGGTGGTTGTGGTTCTGGTTGTTGTTAAGTTTGTTGCTTCTTCTTCTTCCTCTTCTTCTTCTTCTTCTTCTTCTTCTTCTCCTCCTCCTCCTTCTCCTTCTCCTTCTTCTTCTTCTTCGTCTTCTTCTTCTTCGTCTTCGTCTTCCTCTTCGTCTTCGTCGTCTTCTTCTTCTTCTTCTTCAGGTGGTTGTGGTTCTGGTGATTGTTGTGGTTGTTGCTGTTGTTGTTGTTGTTGTTGTTGTTGTTGTTGTGCAGGTCGACATCGTGGATCACGACTATGGCGCCCAGGTAAGTGACGCAGGTATGGCGTCCGCCCCTTTTCTTCTTCTTCTTCTTCTTTCTTCTTCTTCTTCTTGTTCTTCTACTTCTTCGTCTGGTTGTTGTTGTGGTTGTTGCTGTTGTTGTTCTTGTTGTTGTTGTGCGGGTCGGCAGCGTGGAGCACGGCTATGGCGCCCAGGTGGTTGTGGTTCTGGTTGTTGTTGTGGTTGTTGTTGTTGTTGTTGTTGTTCTTGTTGTGCAGGTCGACAGCGTGGATCACGGCTATGGCGCCCAGGTAAGTGACGCAGGTATGGCCTCCTCCCCTCTTCTTCTTCTTCTTCTTCTTCTTCTTGTGGTTGTGGTTCGGGTTTTTGTTGTTGTTGTT